CATGGAGCGAGAAAAAGATCGTATAAGCTGTCCTGCCTTCATGTTTCGTTTCGTAAAAAACATGTTTCATCCCTCTTGAACTCTGTTGCTGGCCCGCCAATTCATTGAGGCCAACGATGGTGTCCCCGTCTCTCACTCTGGGCGCCCTCCGACCAACCGATCGACTCCGATCAACCGAAGATAGACGGGCAGACCGATAGACCGGAGGTGGAAACACCCAGACTTCGGCCGTTCCTTTGGACTTCTGCTTGACCTGTTGGAACAGGGGAATCCGTCCATAGATGAATCAATGGCACACACAATCAATGGCACACCTCATAGACACCTCATAGACTAATCACGTTCTTTTTGAGAAAAGGCCACACAGACAGTATGGAGTCCCCAAATTAACCGGGTAGTCCTGACAATTGAAGATTCTTTTCTTTCCAAATGGAAGACCTTTCCACAGCATGTCGACCTTGGGAGATGGTCTCATCTTCGACCTTACAGACCGTCGCGGAGTTTCCATGCTTCCCAGTAAGCGGATCACTGCGAGAGGGGGTCGGTGCTGCCGCATTCCCCACCGAACATGCCGATACTCTGAGACTCCACAGCGAGGGATGAGGGCCTTTGGAAGCTGTGGACTTTGTTAGAAGCCGGGAAGAGGACAACTTCAGCCCGTTGGTTGGAGAGCATTCCTATTCCAGTGGACATCCAGATGAAAAGAAGAACATGCCCACGTGATGCTTGATTTTGGATACAGAATCCTTACTTCAGGTATTGATCATACTTGATTCAAGACACTTTCAACCCGCTGGCCTTCCATACCTATGCAACACCATACGCATATGACCATAAATGAGTCAGTCACAGGTTGCATAGCTCCAACATATATCCACGCCCAAATCTCTTTGCGTGCTAGATGTGCCTCATTGTTTTGCATGGTGAGACTCAGTACAGGCAGGACTGACGCTAGCTTGCAGAAGCTTTTCCGCACAGTCTTGGGGCGAAGGAAGCCCAGATGCTGGTGCCTAGGCTTAGCCTCTCTTGATGGCCCTGGCAAGCTGGCAAGAATCGATCCAGAATTTTTACTGTAGGTGTAAAAGCACAGGTTTTCCTGCCCTTACTGGCAATGATTCAGCACCGCGTCCCGGTCCCTGTTTGCGCACCACATCGTGCGCCCCTGGACCCGACCGCTTCAAGATGCGAGTAGCTCTAATAGGGAGACCTCCCAGGCGTTCGGACCCCTTGAAAGAAGGAAACCAAGACCCAAACCATCCAAAGCCAGGGGGTTTCCCTATTGACGTACATACTCACTACTCACTACTCACTACTCACTACTCACTACTCACTTGTTTTGTTTTGTTGACTTTGCAGCCCCTTAGAGGTCCATGACCACATGCTAGGCACTTAGAGGTCCATGACCTTGTCTTTGTCTCCCACAACACCGCCGGTGCCTTTAGTCCACATCGATTGGAGAAAGATGCGGTGGCCAAGTTGAAGAGATCAACGAACGGAAGCATGGACCATGGGATCACTACCGATGAAGGCCATCGCAAGTATAGGATGGAGGCCATCGGCTCCGTAGGTTGGAGGCCATCGATGGGTTGGAAGCTGCCAGTACTGTTTAACCTGTTTCTCTGCTCTGAAGGTACCCCACGAGTTTTTTGCAGCACCCCTGGTGATTGACATCGAATTGCTGAGGTAGCAAGGACGTCAGCTTGAAGTCACTTCGGTCTTTTTGGAACTGAGGTAAACAACATAAGCTCTAAGTGTATCAGTGTCCAGCAGAAAACAGCTGGAGTTCACCAGGTCTGGATTTTTTGGCGCCCAGCTTGGTCCAGAGCCACTTGGCTTTTTGGAGCGTCACAAGGCCTCTGCGTGAGGCTGTGAGATGTACAGTATCCGCTGAGAGAAAAGGAGGACTCGGCTGGACTCCGGCTGGGCGAAGGCCTCGGCATCCTAAACTTATACTCTTTTTTCCGAGACTCTTGTGGAAGATTATTTTGCAGAACAGATATTTCACATCTAATCTATATATTCATCTATTGGTACACATTGTTTCCATTTTGGCTAGTGACATCTTCCGGCAGAAAACAGATGTCACTGTGCCGCTTGCTCGCTCAAAATGGAGGAGTGAACGGCACTCTTCTTTGAGTAGATTGCAGGTCGCCGACGGTCCGCCTGAATTTCTTTCACTTCGAAACCAGGTTGGTTGACTAGAGGACATGATATGTCAATTGAATATCTCTGGGTCTCTGGAAGAGAGAATGGGTCAGTTTTGGCGAGGTTGCCACCGAAAAAGGGGTGAGATAGGAATGGTTTGGCTGGACTGGAGCAAAGAGTACAGAATACAGGAGAAATAGGGATAGACATGGAGTTTAAGTTCAATGGGCCATGAAATAGCTTGAGCAGTTGCTTTGCTAATCCAAACCAAACCAGCCCTATCAAAACTGTTTGGTCTGAAGGGGAGAACATGTGGCAAGTTGCTGGCAAGGTCTTGGTTATCTTGGTTTCAGCCCACGCATTTATCAGTTGTGGCCAGTCTGGGCCAGTCTTGGGTCGTCTGTTTGCAGTGAGCCTCAGATATGACCCTCGGTTCTTGGAGAGGCCAAGCCTCAAATCTTCTAAAGAAGAAATCTGAATCCGAGGTGCAACTTTTGGATTGGGTGCTAAGTGAGGAAACTATTTATTGGCTGCTACTTGGGAAGGGCCAGTCACAAGATAGAATGGACCAGGACTTTTGATAGAAACAAGCTTGGGTTCAAAGAGGAATGGCAATCCTCTCAGTTTTGTTATCAATATCTCTGGGGTAACCTGCGACACTGTCGGTGTGATCTGTAATTTTGGGCTGCTTTTGGGCTCCAAGGCCGGTTGCGGTTGAGGGAGAGCATGTTGGAGGCTTATTGGTATTTCAATCGCATCCAAAGTGTTAAGCAAGTGGTGAGTTTTTCCATAGATGGCCGTTTACTGCTGGTTGGTTGATGAATGGTTAAAGGGGATACCCAAGTCGTAGTGTTTGTTCTGACACAAAGAGCGATACAGTCACCCATATTTAGTTTAGACAAGCAAGATACTTTCGAACACCATCATAGACACCAAAGAAGCGCAAAGATCATTTTTGACATATTAGCTTCGATTATGGTTTACTCTATGACGATGATCCTTTTCGTTGAAGAGCATTTCTGGTCAGGTAAAATCACTCAAAGGGTTCTCGAGCTGGAGCGGTTCGAATGTTGGTACACCCCCCAAGCCCAACAATTTCGCCCTTCCTGGGTCGCTGTGCCTTGCCCTGGCCCCCTTGTCCATGGCTAGCCATGGCTTTGCTGAACGCTAGAGCTCGCGTGGCTTGGTCATGAGGGAGTTTGAAACTGATGACATCAAGTGATATAGATGGTTTGGACATGCGAGAGGGCCAAATCGTGTCCACAGAACCCGAGAGTTCTAGCCACATATTTGGATGACATTTTGGTCTTGCGATCTCGGTTTTCCTAGCTGAGGAGATGCGGAGATCCATTGACCTGAGATGCATGTAAACCCATCCTAACCTTCACCGGACTACTGGCATACAGCACTTTTCACGGCACCTGAATCCCGAATCATGTTTTGGGTAGAGTCCCTCTTTTGCTTTTAATTCTCCTTCATACCTTGGGGTGCAGACCATGTTCCGTGCCTTGGTGCAGACCTTGTGGGGCCTGGAGTCTCTTTCTATGGAAGGCTTTGCAGAGATTGACCCCTCAAGAAATTCCCGACCTCTTTGGTGACCCTGGTGACCCTGCCTCAAATGAAGATGTTACATCATTCCCTATGTATCAGCTTCGCGTTCACTGCTCAATTGCTGTTTCTTCCATCAGCGGAACGGCCACGTCACACGAGGACGCCCACGCGACGCACGCGAAGACGGGGCGCCGTGGACACGGACTGACCCCGCTGAGGTCCAAGACGGCGATGGCGTCCAAGGATCCAGTGACTGGGCGAGGACGAACGCGGAACGAACGACGTGGGAACGACGGTGCGGCAAAAGGTGGGGAAATACGCACACACAGCGTGCATGCGCTTTTTTGTTGGGGTGAGTAGAAGAGGACAGACAGATAGACTGTAGGATAGACACATATGTTCTCCATTTCCTTTAGGAGGGAAGGCGAGCACATCTCTTTTTTTCTTGCCAAACATTGCCGTTAGTGCACATCAAACCTGTGTCAACCTGAACCCTTCTTCGGAGTATTCAGTTCCACACAAAATAGATTCACCCCGAGATCGTGCTTTTAACGGACGCCATAACTTTCTGATGTATTTCAATACTAGATTATGGTCCACCAAAGCTATACTGGCATTCCTGTACAAATTTGAACTCAAACAGTCAAACAGTAGAGCCACTTTATATAATTGGGGTCTGCTGGCTACCTGGATTATCTGCAAATTGGTTTGGTCGCCACCCTGCAAGATCAGGGTGAGGAATCATTCGCGGGCTGTTGTTCATTTTTAATGGCGACATCCGTTGACAGCAAAACAGATGCACATTATCTGCACTGCTCGGAGAAAAGCGCATCGAAGTGCTAAAGAATTGAAGTGAAAAGCGCACATCGACCAATCTGCTCATCTTCGCCATCGAGGTCTTAACATCCAACGAGGTCTTAACATCCAACGAGGTCGCAGCGCCAAAAACACATGGTCTAAAAGCACGAAAAGGCACCACGCAATTGGTTGGGCCCAGACCTGCTGGGCCCGCATGCACCGGTTTCTGCTGGCACTAAGGAGGCTTTTGAGGTGCAACATCAATTCCATTTCAGGTGGCTCGGCGCGAACGCCCGCGGCAGTGGCCAGCAGTGGCGGTGGCGGTGGCAGTTTTGGGCGAGCAAGTAAAGGTGGCTGGTGGTGAGACTGTCTGGTGAGACTGCCAGTCCAAGCCATGAGTCAGTGTTTCAACACGCCTTCTGACTGGATAGGCAGGTGTTGTCAAGGAAGCATCAGATCAACCGACAGGTACATGTTCTTTTGATCCAGGAGCCTTCCTAGTAGTAAGGCCAGGAGCCCCTAGTAGCGTTCTTGCTCCTAGTAGCGATGCCAGGAGCCCCTACTGGCCATTTTGCTTGGCATCATTCTTAGGACATGATTCGGCAACTTGTGCACTGTTGGTGCTGGAGCAGGTTTGCCTTCCACGCAGTCACTGGACATGATTTTGCGAACATTTGTGTGGCTTTTCCAAACATTCACCTGGAGGGGCTGCATCATCGAGCAAGGCTTGAATATAGAGGCTTTATGCCATGGATTCTGGTGGATCTTCATGGGATGAGCCCCACTTTCCATCCTTCTGGAAATGTGTGCCGATGTGCCACGGCGAGAGCTTCTCACTTCTTGCGCTGCTCACTTCTCTGGCGCCGATCCCAGGTATGATCGAAGGCGCGACAAGAGAGGGTTCAACGATGTGCAGCAAGCGAAGTGGTGGTTGCATGCGAACCACCAGCGGTTGGGAAGAGTTTCTGGAGGACGGTATGTTATATTTATATAGAGTTTGTTATGGTAGCACGTTCTAGCATATTCTGGCTTTGATCGTTTCAAAACACGCTACCCTTCAAAAGATAGCACTGGTCGATCCAGGCGTTCTATTTTCACCCACAAGTCAATCGTTCGGTGCATAACATCGTGGAGTTTCTTTCATTTGAAAGATCTTTTCATTCACCTTCCGGTCGACTCAAAATTCAGTCCATAACCGTAGATCTTGGTCTCGACCACCAGTTCCCACTCGAGGAGAGAAAAAAGGTGGGAGGCGCCAGTTCTGAAGCAAGCTCTCGGATTCGGGTAAGACACCATCTTCCTCCCAAAATGAACATGGTCCTTCCTTCTCCTTCTGAAATCCGAAGCGACTGGCAACATCCATCGTGGACACCATCTTCATTGTCTACGAGTTGACTGATCATGCTCTAATTAAGAGTCGACTTTCTTTTTGCCACGCCGAAAGAGGGTATTCAAAGTCTTCATGCGATTTCTTGTGGGATGCAGAGATTCATCGTTGCATATCATTGCCTTCCAAGATGAACGAAGACGAGAATCCACCGTTTTTGGTCCAGTCCTCCTCCTCCTCCTCCTTCTCCTCCTACTGTTCTTCTCTTTGGGCCCCAGCAGGTAACCATTCTGAGATTCAGATTCTGTTCATTTTTGGAATGTGAACTACGAGGCCTCCTAGCCAATGGTTGACTATGAAGAACTCCTCTCTGTCCAAGTTGCACTTACAGTAGATCAACTCTGTTGGACATATTTGCCTTTGCCACAAAGTCACCTAAGTTGTAGGGATTTGAACAGTTTGTTGTGTGCAACAACCTCAGTTGTTGGGTGCTCCAAGAGCTATCTTCAATCAGAGCTATATATCTCCGGGGTGAAACCTTGGTTGTTGGAGTTCAGAAGGAATCACCAGGACTATGGGTCCTGACTGGGTTTGTCAACTCAAACGCGTCGACTCGTGTCCAGTAGAGTTGAGTACTTCGACTTATAGCGACGAAGCACGCATAACCCCGAAGCATCCCCCGGTTTCTCAAACAGGTCGGTCTGGGAACGTTTTTCCCTTCGCCCTTTTTCAGGTCAACGGCTTCTAGAATCTAGAAGATCACCTTGCTTAAGATCTGGCGTTCTTTGCTTGGGATGCATGCGTAGGCCATGCGTAGGCCATGCGTAGGCCCAAAGCTCACTCCGGACCTCGCGGCCATGGCTTTCGTTTTGGTTTCGCAGCGTGGTGCTGCGATTTCCTGCAGTATCATTCCAATCTAATAGCAATGGCCTCCAACCTTGGGAGGTTATCCTGCTTCTCGAACGCAGTGAGCTGCTTGAACTTCACTGGCGATGGGCAGTGCCGAGCTGGACGTGACGTGACAGACGACCCCGCTGGGCTGAAGAGATCCCGAGGTGAAGGGATCCGCGAGATGGATCGACGGTTGATCAATAGAACCTTTGTCTCCAGAATGGTTTAGCATCTCCATAATGGGGTTTCTGATTCATCAACAGTCTACACTAAGGAGCCGTTCTTTTCATTTCTTCTCGGCGAGGAGTTTTCTTGTCCATTTTGATGGATTTAAGCCTAGCTGCTGGAAGAACACCTTGATGCTGGGGAACCTGAACAAAACATGTCACAGGCATCCTGCAATTCGTCGAGTTATCAACATGGTTTTGCTGGATGTTTTGTTGGCACGTGGCCAGCTGGATGTTCCAGCATCCAATGTAGTCATCGTGGGTGCTGCTGGTCTTTCAAAGAGGCCTGTACAGACCCGACTTATTGTGGCAGCAACATTTCATCTCAAAGGTTGAATGATTGTCTTGCACTTGCACTTTATCAGGTCCCACCATCCCTTCCGAAGTGGCTAAGGTGGACCATAAAACTGCCTGATGCTCGCGGTTTTCACAGTTGTTCACATCCGCCCCATATGTTCCCGACATGTCATACCGTGAAAACAAGCCAAAGAAGCCTCCTGGCCATCTGGCAATTCTCCGGGTCGAACCAGTCGGGTTTTTCAGGTACTTGGTCTCCGGCACGGGGTCGGGTGATATCAAGGCATGTGGAGAGGGGAGGAGGATGGATGGATGGATGGATGGATGGATGGATGGATGGATGGATGGTTGGTTGGTTGGTTGGTTGGTTGGTTGGTTGGTTGATGGATGTATGCATGTTCCGTGTTCCCTCTCATCCATTGCATGATGGATGGATGCAGCGGATGATGGCTTTTTGTGGATCTGCATCATCCACTGCAGTGAAGTCATCCCCAGCTTCACCGGAGCACAGAGCAACTTGGGGCCAGCTATGGGCCCGTCAAGAGTTTCGTGATTCCCGGGCCTAGCGGCCTAGCAGGTGGAAGCTCGAGAGTTGTAGGCAACAAGCAGATTTGGTGCCGTGAAAGCTTGACTACTTCTAGGTGTCAAAGAATTTGTGCCGGATGAAGCACTTGCTTAATTCCTGAATGCTATTTTAAGCAGCATCAGTCAGAGTAGGACCGAGTAAAAGGGAGGGTGATCCAGCCAATTTCCTAGGTAGCCATTCTTGGATCTCAAAGTGGAGTGGAAATGGAACGTTGCGTAGCTTTTCAGACTCCGGCTTCAATAGGGCTTTCTCACGTTATCTCCAGTTTGGCAAACATGGGAAGATCCTTCTGAGAGGCCCCCAATCCTCGCCACCGTAGATGAAAACAACCTCCTCCGCCACCGCACGTGGCGCACGTGGTGCACGTGGCATTTGCTGCGCGGTGTTCCAGGTGTGGGACAGCACCACCTGGGCTGAAGCTGCCAAGCTGAAGAGTGGCCGTCGGGCCGAACCGAAGGCGCGGAAGCAGCGACGAGGTCCCGGTGCTCGACGATCGGCCCTTCGGGGTGGATGGGTGGACCGACCTGGAGCGAGGGAAGCAGGCCGAAGCAAATGGTTCCATGTGAAGTACAACAGGAACCACCCTGTTCATCAGTGTGAATGGCACCCTGTTGGGTTTATATCCATGGATTATACCTGTGGTATCCAACAGGGTGCCATTCTTGCCCCACGAGAGCCCTTTTTGCGCTGGGACGGGGCGGGCCAGGACTCGAAGGGGACTCGACTGAATGGGCCAGGTTGGTTCAGGCGTGGAAGCTCAAGAACCAACAGCATTTGATCTTCCAGCCACTTCCACGGGTGGTTGAACGTTGTAATGACGCACATCACACAAGATCATCGTTTATACTACAGTAGCTTTGTGTTTTCTACGATGACCCGCATGTGGCAAATGGGTGAATCCGTAGCCTTCCAAACCAAGTTTGGTCAAGAACAGCTAACTCCAATCCGTGGGAACACTGGACCTTTTTGATCTATCTCCTCTTGAAGAACTATGAGCTGTGAGATGCCCCCAGAGGAGCGAACCTCCACCGCTTTCCACCGGACAGGAAGTGGCGATTAGTCCTTCCCAGCGCTGGGTGGTGGTCTGCTATAGCCACTTGGGCGTGAGATGGCGTGAGACCACAGAGACATTCACAAAGCCGTGCTTTTTCCCACAGAACAATGAACATGAATAGACTTCCATCCGACTTGGTCAACCTTTGAGGGTGACTTGGAGCTGGCTGTCATGACCCAAACCCCCGCCTGGTCGGTGGTCGGGGACTTCCCAGGTCGGGGACGTCCCCCGATGGGGTGGCTTTGCCCGGTGCGAAACGATGGGGAAAGCACATCTCGGAGTCCCAGGAAGAAGCAGCCCCAAACGTATGGGGCTCCAAGGGTAGGCAGGAAGGGTTGCTGTGGGTTTACCAGACAAGTGTCCCTGGAAGAAGGATGATGGGAGGCAACTATTAAAGAGAAGAGGTTGTCTTTGTTCAGTGAGGTTTAGTTTCTTATGAGGGTTTTGGCAGACCTAGCTGCAACATGCTGCAACTAAATGGTGCAACTGTTTCTCCATGGGATCGGTTTGTTGTTCATGGCGCTAAGCTTGACCTTTGATCTCTACCAAAAGAATTCACCCCCAGGAGGCGCTATGTGTTCCTTCACTTCTCACTCGCTTTTTTCTTTCGCTAAAAGCTGCTTCTTCCTGTCTCCTTCCACACGTTCCCACCGTTGTGGCCACCTGATTTTCTTACCCCAGGTGCCATGCTGCAGATCTTCCAGTGTGGCGCCCCCTGGAAGTTGGTCCAGTCCCGCCCCGTCGAGGGGCCCAAGGACAAGGACGGGCGGTGTTGGCGGCTCGGTGGCGGCTCGAACGGCAGGGGCAGTGACCTGCTGGTGCTTCCCAGGTTTCTATGGTAAAAAGACACAGTATGGTGACTGGAGAGTCACTTCGTTGGACACCACGGAATCGACATTATCACCAGCCGGACGGGCTGGACGCTTAGAAGCTCCCAGGTAGTTGGAAGCTTTGGAGGCCCAGCCACCGAGGTGGTTTGTCCCAGCAGTTGAAGGTTTCGGTTCCTGTTTTTTTCCAGCAGGCTTCAAGATGGTTTAAGGGATTTGGCTGTTTTTCACTACTAAGGCAATCAAAGGTCCCAAAGAATCACAACCCTGAACCAGATGGGTGTGTATTGAAATGGTGAGACCTCCCCAAAACCCTTTGGAATAAGGGAAATAGACCCAAAGCCATCCAAAAACCCTTGGTCGGGGGTTCTCCCTGTTCCTTTGTGAAGTGCTTCCAATCGGTTCTGGGAAAAGGAGCCCGGTCATGGCGCTTTCGCGGAGCCGAATCCGTCGGGCCAGGAGCCGGAATGGTGCTGTGTGGCCTTCTCTCCGATGTTGGAAGTGGACCACCCGCATGGACAGGCTGGCCAGGAGACCCGCGAAACAACTTGACCGAGACACGGCGGGACCTGTGTGCTGCGAGGGCGATCGCACGAGAGGATGGTTACCACCCGCTTCTTTCGGGGTGAACAGTCGCAGCGAGAGGATGGCCCCCCCCAAAAAGCCCGGCAGCCTGCGAGGACAATCATTTGGCGGCCTTTAGCAACTGTCACATCTCGCTGATGGACTACTCGGGTGGTTGGTCCGAGGCGCTCGGGAGGGTGGACTGGACAGCGGTTTCCGAAGGCTTCGGAAGGGTGGAATGGCGGTCTTGATTTTTACCCACGATTTTCATGAAGAAAAGAACAACACATGATTTGTCTCACAGCTTGGTTCACATGTCTGCAAAAAAAGAAACAACCTTGGTTCACACATGGAACCACACATGGGAACAGTGCCCATGTTCTTCGATCTTTCGCCCCAAGCAGTCCATCATTGGTGCAGGACGTGCCGCAGAGGACTCGATCGCTCATGGGAACCTCCTGGCCATCCAGCCTCTCCTACACGGGTGATGGCTATTTCATCATTTGTGCCTGGGCGTCAAATCGTCAGATGGAATGGATGGACAGTCGGATGGAGGACAGTCCTATGGGGAACAAGGACAGCAGTTTCCATGCTGAAACCGTGGAAGAAGGACGGACAGATACGAAGAGCATCGAAAAGCAGCAGTTTCCATGTTGACTGACGCTTCACTCAAATGAAGGTCCCAAGTGTTAAAAGATGTTAAAAGCATGGCTGATCTCGTATTTCAGACGGAGGTCTCTCTTTTGCTACGTCCCCACTCGCCAAGCTTCACTTTCCCAGCTCTGCGAACGCGACCGCTGCGTCGAACCATGAACACGGGCGAACTGGTTCCATGTCATTGAGCCCAGTCGACCAACCCCAATCCTTGATGGATGACAAGAGTGAGACGTGGATCAGGGTTCCCACAAGAGACTGGCAAAAGAATGCGAAACACCATAGGTCCACTAACATCCACCCACATCTCCTGGTTTTCTTCAACCTTCGAAGGAATCTTTTTGTCGATCGAAGCCCACAGGTGGCTTCTCAAATGGACAGATGCAGATTTGGAACGCCTTCTCCCTCTCCTTGGTGTGGGGGCCTGGAGAGACGGAGCAAAGGACGGAGAACATGACACCATCCATGTTTAGAAGAGGTGGACCACTTTCCTGTGATGGATCTGAACGCATGGAAACCATCCAGTCATCTTTTCTTACGTGAAGCAACGCTCATCTGTCACCTTCCCTGTTGGGTGAGGCATGGGAAATCATCCCGTTTCACAAAAACCTGGGCCTCTCATAAGGACGGCGCTTCTCTGACCTTGCTGGTGAGACTGCTAGTGTGGAAACTGACACACACACACACACATTGAAGTTACTTAATTATCGATAGATACTCCAAGCTAATTCGAACATGTTCCATTCTGTTCAGATGGTGGGTCAAGCCTGCAGATTTTGATATTTCATCCACGCAAAACCGTTTGTTACGACCTTGACCAAACTTGGCCATCAACCTCGCCTCTACCACCTCAACTAACCGAGATATCAATACATTGCGTACGTGTTCCTACGCAACGACACCATCTTTTGGAACCAACGAAAAAGCACCCATTTTTTGGATCCTTTGGGGTGAACGACCCTTTCGCGCTTTCCCCGTTCCGGGCGGCTCCGTGGGGCGCGAACGCCGTTCGCGCCGAGGAGAAGACCTTGAACGGCCACGAGGCCGCCGTGACGTCCATCGCCGCCTCCCCGCCGCAGTCGCCCTACGACCCTCGCTTGGTCTCCTGCAGCAAGGCGGGGGACCGGCCGCGCGACCGGCCGCGCGACCGCGGAGGCAACGAGGGTCCGGGGATGAAGATGGATGGTGCAAGATGGTCCAAGGAAGAAGGGTTGGTCCATGATGGTCATGTGTTCCTTGTTTTTGCAAGAGCCTGTCAGTAGATGGAAAGGGTCATGGAAGGATGGATAAGGATGGCCATGGTTTTGAAGTTGGCAAAGTGACCAAACCACCTGCCAAACCACATCGAACCACCAAGTCCTTTGGATTTAGGAACTGCTTGCCTTTTGAACTCGCTTTTGTGGGGGTTGAGCCCCCCGAAAGCGGGGGGGGTGGGGTCATGACCCCGAAGCTGCATTTGTTACAGTACTCAGCTGATACAGTCTCTTGATAGGGGGTGGCCGCAGCCCATTACCAGTCGCAATCGGTAAAAGATTATCGCGAGAAAGGCCTTTACTGACCATCCTCATCCACTGGGGCCTGGTAATGGGAGATACCCAACCTCTTGATTAATAACCCCCTCCATTTGGATGCCCCGATGGATTCGATGGTCTTAGTGTTTCTTGGAGTCCTTGTGCAGTAATTTACTTGAACAGGTTGGGGAGTCACTCTTCTTAGGCACCTCCCGTGCCCATGCCATTCGCCCTCTGTCGCATTCGTAGTTTGCTTGTACATTTCATTCGTAGATGTTTTCCGTAGTTGACGTGCAGTGTCACCCCCTGTTCAATCCCACCTTCACCCCTCGGAATACCCCTCCATTTGGATTGTAACACCTCTTCAGGCCGGGGGGATTGTTAATCACGAGTCTACATTACTCGACCAGTGGGAGAACAGATGAGGGTGACCTCAGCTTTGGTGTGGAAATTCCCTCAGTGTTTTCACAGATGGAAGTTCTGGACCAGAAGTCGTTATCTCGTTCGGACATTCCCAGCTTTTGATATGCTTTTTTTCCGTATGTTCTTTGTGTGCAATCAATTTGGATGGAAATGGCCGGCCATCAGAAGGGTTGCACAGTGCAAGATCCATAAACCATCGCGGATCGGATCGGGTGGTTGGACCGGTTAGACCGGTTGGACGCATTTTCGCAGATGATGATTCTCCCGTTGTTCAGCAGGTGCGTCTCCTCTCCTGCTGGGTAACATGTTTCATTTTTTGACTGGCTACTCCAAGTCCCTGTTCTTTGAACAACGTCCAAGCTACTCGTCAGGATCAGTGCCTACGCGTCTGGCACGTCAACACCTGGCTCTTAGAGCAGCACGTGCATGAGCTGTGGGGGCTCCCGTCTGCAGCGAAAGGCGCCAGGTCTTGTAGAGAATAAAGAACAGCAGAGAGTCTGAGACTGAAGAAAAGAGTTCCTTTGTGGGGAGAAAAAGATAAGCCAGGCGTGGTGGAGATGCCAAGTTCCAGGTTCAAATTAAGGTGAGAACACCCGTTTCAGTGTTCATTGAGCTGAGCTGATGAGTTCAACAGAGCCCCAGTCATCTTTGAGATTTCTTTGCCCAGAATCAGTTTCTACGGCACAATTAGGCTTTGTGTCAAACACACCGACCAGTTGTTGCTTCGGTCTCTTCACGGCTTCTTGAACATTAAGAAGCCATCTGTGGGATCATCTGCCCTTGCACATCTCCAAGTGCGTTTTGTTTTTTCCTCAATCATTTCAACAAAGAACTTCAAGATGAACACATGTATATACAATGCCTATAGTAACTATGACAATAACTGTATTATTTAACCATGTTTGGAGAAGTGACAGTTCAACTTGCTCATCGTTCTTTCCGCTCGGCCGAGACCTGACCCACTCGGCTCCACTGAGACGTGTCGATCGATTTGAGGCGCTGCGACCGAGGGGGCTTGCGCTGTTGCAACTTCTCTGCCACGGGCACCTGGTTCCTCGGTCCGTTTTCAAACGCCGGCGACCGGGGTGGATGGGCGGCGACGACCTGCGGCGACCCGGTGCGTTTGGGGATTCCGTCGAACGCGGAGGCAGACAGCGGAGGCTGCCTTTGTTGGAAAGGAAGAGGTGGTCCTTGATGAGCTTGTGTCCTTTCCCGTTCCACTGGGCTTTCCTGTTCCAGTGAGCTATGAAAAGAACTTGGGACTTGGAAAACGGAAGACGATTTCAAGAGATCGGGAGTGGAGCTGTTGAACATATTAAGACCTTGTGGGCAGAGCTGCGAAGTGAAGCTGTTGAACAGGGTTCACAGGCGATATGATGTATCTGTATATGGACATATTTTTGGTTCGCTGAAATTTGTCAAGTCCCATTCCTGAGATCTCAAAGGTTCACCCTCGGTTTTTTTCAAGCTGGTGCTCACGGCAACCAACGTAGCCGTAGCTTCTGTTTGGATTCATTCACTTGAACTCATGTTTGTGTGAATGTGGCCATAGAAGATACCTTGTTGAGTATGACAGTGGCAGAGCATGGGAGCCTGATCAGGCCAGCCAGACCAAGGAGTTTACTGGGTCCCACCCTGGTAGCGTTCAGGGACGAAGGATCGGTGACTAGGAAATCAACGATGTTGGAGAAGCGATGCCCTTTGCTCCTAGGAGCGTCCTTGCTCCTAGTACTAAGGCCAGGAGCCCTAGTAGCTTCTTGTTCCTAGTAGCGATGCCCTTTGCTCCTAGCACCAATCAAGAAATGGAAGCGATTCGGATGGTCCATACCAGGCATCACAGGACTTGTGTGAATTGTTTGTTTGAGAGCCGTACTATAGGGGTCATATTTTTTCCATTCTCCACAGGATCTTCTGTAAAAAGACATCCCGTCCTAGAGAAGCTCCAGTTGTTCCTGCCCTCGAACATGAGCAGTCGAAGGTGTGGCACGCTCCCTATCCCTCCCTTGGTTGTTGGTTTTGTTTAACAAAACTACGGGGCCCACCAGCCCTCCAGATCGAAGCCCACCCACCCTGCCTGGGCGAACCTGGCGCCGAGGCTGGTGGCCGTGGGCTCGGAGTTGGTCGTCTGGCGCGTTTGCGTGTCAGCCAGGCGGGGGGTCGGTCCGTCCTGCGGAGATTGCAGCGGGGGGTCGGTGCAGAAGGCGACGGAAGAGACCAAGCTCCATGTTCCATGCCAAGCAGATGGTGGTTTTCCACTTCCATGTGGGTTTCGGAGTATTTTCTGGCTTGGAGTGCAGGGCTTCGAGAGGATCAATGCTTTCTGGTGGGGTCGGATTGGCAAGAGTTCAACCTGAACGGATCCTCAACTCATGATGATGTTCTGAAGGGTGTTATTTTAGTCTGCAGTGGGCCGACAGTGGGCTGTAGTTTCCAACCTACGCCAACTGAAGAGCGAAGTGCTACACCCCCAGCCTAAGATTCACCAAAGTCACCGATCTCTCATTGGTGAACCTGGGTGACGTGCTGAACCAAGACGATACCTCATGAACATCTGAATCTGCATGTGCACCTGGATGCACGCTACCACAATTCCATCCCCACCTTTCCTGTGGCTTTGCGATCTGCTTCTCCAAGCACACCTGCTCTCCGAGCAGCTTCACCAAGATCAGCTGCAGGACCAAGAAGTTTGACCTGCAACTCCACCAACGCCTTGAGGTGCTTTCGCCCTTGGGCTGGGAGATCGCGCCGGGTTTTGATCGCGGCGATGGATCAGCGAAAACACCGGGCCTTGAGAAAAGCCACCCCCCAGAAAGTTCAATTTCAAAGTGGTACATGCGCCAGTGTTGGGTGTTCTGGGATTCTTTTTGGTGGCATTCTGACACCACCCTTCAACTGCTAGGTGCAGCTCCTGGCAGCTCGCCGGCCGCCGTTGAGCGTCCTAGAAACCACCAGTTGTGGATCTCAACATCCTCCAAAAAGCAAAGGAACCATAGGTGCCTTTTTTGGAAGGAACTCCTGTGGCAACCAGTGGGCCGTCGGGGTGTCATTGTCATATGTGTCTAAAGAAAAGTAGTTTTTTGTTACTAGTAGCGTCCTTGTTCCTAGTAGTAAGGCCAGGAACCCTTCGTAGCGTCCTTGCTCCTAGTAGCGATGCCAGGAGCCCCTAGGTGTTTTTGGGAGTGTGAAGTATTCTTCACGCTGATTGAAGAAACCCACCTCTACTGTACATGTCGAAGACAGATGGGCTTGTTCCTACACACGTCAGGAGACAGGCCTCCATACAACTGTAGTCACTGTAGTCTTGACCAACATCGCAGTGTTGGCTACTCGAAAATCACTCTAACCGGAGTGACCCCTATTTTGGACTAGCAACCTGCTTCGGACCCCCTCCCAAACTGGTGTCAGTGGTAGCCCCAACTCCTTCAAGCATCCCCTACAGACGGGTAGTAGGGATTCAACTCGCTCAAAGTGACCATCTCCGTTCTTTTGGGGCCCAGGATGCCCCAGGGGTGGCGTTCTTTTCGTGCTAGGAAGGCTCAAACACTCGCTGTCCTACGCAGTCCGGCCACGCGGACGTCCCCCACGCTGTCCCCACTCCCTTTGACTGCCAGGCAGTCTGTGGCTCAGAGTCCATCCGGACGGCCACCTTTAGCTGGGAACGCCCAGTGGATGGGCGATGGGGGCTGTGGTTCGGTGGATGGGTGGAAGAAGCGTTGAAGACACGGGTTTGGTTCGTTCTGAAGAAGTGGATCCGTGCTCATGATGAGAGGATAGCAGCTTGCAGGTGTCGCACTTGGGAAGACCAGACCTTGGCACTTGGGACAAAAATGCTCCCCTCAAACCGTGTTGATAGATGTCGTTCTCCGGTGCTTGTGCAGCAGAAGCCTTTGATTCAATGCGCCTCTCTCTCTCTGATGTATATGAATGATCAATCACATCTATTTGGTCGTTACCAAAGTAAGTCGTCTGCCGTGTGCGCATGTGCGTTATTTGTTTGTCCAACGTCAGTACCCACTTTTGTGAATGAGATAGGCCCCCGACATAAACGAGATCGCTTGGCTGACGACAACGACTTCTACTGATCTGCTATGATCTGCTTATTTAGAAGTATACATAGTGCACCAAGACCTCCTGCCACAGTATTCCAAAACGAGATAGGGCCCTCCAAAAAATCAGATAGCGCATCTGAGCTATATAATATAGTCATACCAAAATATACCAAATACAATCCATTCTTCCGCCGCTCTTTGATGGACTCCGACATCCTGGTGTGACTCCGACATCGGCACGAAGCGTCACACGCTGGAGCGCCTGAGCGCACGAAGCGTCTTCCGCCGGGGGTCTGCCGGTGGCGATGTCCAGCGTCTGGGTGGCTCCGATTTTTGGGGCGACTTTCCGGTCGCATGGCAGGTAGCCAGTCTGACGTGATCGCAGTGGGATCCCATGATGGGATTTTGGGGCTCTGGCGCAAGTAGCTTGGAGATCGAACTTGGAGGGATGGAACTTGGAGGAGAGAGCGCTGAAAGAGGTGTCAAACTGGGGTCCAAACCGGCATAGCGGTGTGGCGTTTTCGGGTTTTCCTGATCCCTTGGAGTCAAACTGGGGTTCTCAGCTCTCCAAATTCGGTCATCCTGTGTGTCTCCATGGTCCACAGGATGGACTCTTTGATGTTTTGAAGTCCACAACCCGAAGTAACTTTTGAGTGAATTCAGAATGCTCAGCCCGAATGCGCCCGAATGCGCCCATCAATTCCCGGGTTTTCAGGGGCACCTAACAGGCGAAGGTCCTGAGAGAAAAGGTGGCTGTACAAGTTTGAACTGCGGCTGGATGAGTTGGACTTGGGCTGTCACCCCCCAAGGACCCTCACGACTCACAGAACCAATTGAATACCGGCTCGCTCTAAGAGCCGTTCTCCCTTTTTTCTTCTTCCTGACCAGCATGGAAGGCAATTCAAAACGCGAAGAAACACAACAACGAACCATGTAGTTTGGGGTTCTTGATTTCTTGATGTTCCCCTACTGCAATCACTCTGAATCACACTTTGCAGAAGGGATTGGGAGCGGTTTGGCAGCCTCTATATTTGTTCCATTAGGACAAATCATCCGAACTGTGCTTTTGTTTTGTTTGTCTTGGTAATGCTTTAACTACAGCTTCTATCTCCCCGCACTGGGTGCTCGACATGTTTCGCGCTCTCCGCTCACCGATTCCGTCACCCTTCCGCCTGGGCACGCCTTCCGCCTGGGCCATGTCCGTCGTGAGGCACCAGGGTTTACCACCTTTGCCGGAGCAGCTGCCGGCTCCGAGCGACCGGACGGCCGCCAGCGACGGCGCGGCGCGCGCGTCAGGCGCGCGGGCGTGGCGCGCGCGCACCGTGGCGCGGACGTGGAGTTCAAAAAGAGTGGACTCCAGGTGTAGCGTGAACACGTTTGTTTCTGATGGCTGTGAGTCAACAATCACCCCCCCCAGCAAATCAGGGTATATTTGACATCCCATAGAATTGGAACTGATTCCTCAAAAACAGACGTCAGACGCCCCCGACCGGACCCACATGGACCGGACCCAGATCCAGATCCAAGCAATGTCTGACTGCCAGGGGCACAGGCCGAGAGCACGACGCCCATGTCGTTGGGGCACCCAGAACGACGCGGGATCGAGGCCCGGCGCGAACTTCAGAGCGAAGTTCAGGCCAAACTCGGTCAGCAGGATACAGCTGGATATTAAATATGGGGAGTGTCAGAATAGGTGCATGGGATTGAGGGGCTGGTGGTAGTTTCTAGATTTTAGAGTATGATCCTATTCTGGCAGTCATACTGTCTGGACAACTCTGGACAAATCTTGCACCACTTGATGCAGTGCATTCTGCAACAAGTCGATTGCAGAAGAGACATGGTTGAGATTTCAGTCCAAGAATCTCTATTTTGGACTTGCTACATGAATGATGTAGTCCCTTTTCTGACCAAGCCTACCAGGAAAAGGGAAGGAGCTTTTACTGTTTCAACATGTGCACAAAGCGGTGCAGGGTTTTGGCCTTCTTCCATATGGATGGGGAACTACGAACTCGTCATTGAAGCTGGTGATGTGCCTTTCTCTGCTCATCTCTTTATTGGGGTTGGAAGCCTTTCGGTCAAGATTTGTGCTAGCCAAAATTGAAGATTTTCAGAAATGCCATCATGATGCAATTTTGAATACTGTATTTCTAGAGATTCGTACATTTCTTGACACCCTTCACCACTTAGTCACTTAGTCATGTCGGAGACTTCTTTCACATCTCATATTCACCACTGCTTCCTACCACACCACAACCCAGGGCATTCGACAAAAAGTCGTACACCCCACCGCACTCGCTTCCAGGAAGTTGAGCCGTCCACTGCAGCGCATCACACCTCAGGCTGCGAACACGCCACGAACCAAGGAACAGTCCAACGGAACAGACACCCCAGACACTCAAATGGTCATCAAATGGGGCATATACTTACTGTAACCATTCCTTGGGGTGGTTGGGTCTTAAGCACCAGGGCCTTGAGGTGCTTGTTTCAAGGGGTCAATTGATCGTCTAATCCCAGTGAGTGGTCCATAGCCGAGGCCCAAACCTGGAACCCCCACACCCTGGATTCCTTGCCGCCCCTGAAGTGATGATGAAGCCGAAATGAGTATTGCAGTGGCAGACTTCGGGGATGCATCCCCTGTCCTTGCACAACACTGGTTGAACCAGGGGTGTTTTTGCATGTGTGAGCATTGGTCAACTTGATGTTGAGGGATCAAATAGGATCATTGGGATCACCGTGGGTCCAAGAACCCCCACCGAAATGCGATTCTTCAAAGCCTTTGACCGGTGCGTCGTGCGTCTCGACTTCCGTGACCCGCCCCGGTGCGCAGCGTCAGCGCCTCCGTTGGGCGGACCCGTAGGCATCAATTGGGAAGTGGAGTTCGCACCTGGTTTGTAAAGGAACATAGCATTCCCCAAAAGCCACCAGGCAGTAAGTTGGCGTCGCCACCGGAAGACTGTGAAAGTTGGTTGGTTTTGCTTGTGGCCCGGGGTCGAGGCCAATGGCAAGCCAACAGGATGGATCAATTCTCAGTGTTCTAGGGCTGTCCATTCTACTTGAGGAAAGCCGCCCATGCTGTAGTGAAATCCATGGAAACAACGAAAGGCATATAGCTCCTGGTCCCTGTCAATGTAGATCACCATCCATCCACAAGAACGCTCAAACGTGGAGATGGCTTCGGTGACAATGATTGCTATGACAAGTGCCCCGCAGGGCGTTAAGCCTTTGAACCAGAAGCCTCCTGAGCAGCCACAGCGGACCAGGCAAGAGCTGGGACATTTGGACAGGGGGAACTGGAAAATCCGTAACCCCAATTCGTGAGCAGAGCAATCTTCAGACATCTTCATGCCAGGGTCGATCTGCGTAACTAAAGGCCGGTGGATTTGTATCAAGCAAAACCACATCATGTAGACTCTTGATTTATAAATACAAAACCCCCCATATGAAGAGGATGTTTCTACGGTGTTTCCGAGACGCTGTTTTGCTTCCATGCTTGAAAGCAACATGTATTTCCACTGGGGGGAACGAAGGATTTTGCAATTTTTGACATTTTTTCGTTATCATTTGATACAATTCATTCATGTAATTATGTTGAGTGTTGATCGATTCACCACCCCCCAGGGGTGTAGGTTCACATAGGTTCACCATGTTAAATGAGGTAAAACCATGTAAAAGCATGCTGGAGATGGGAGAGGTTGACCCATCAATAGCCTGATATGGTCTTCCCCTCAACTCTCCGCCATTGAGATGACGACTCGACCTGATGGAGGAACGTCCTTCCACGTCTCAAATTCCTTGGAGCTGTAGGGTGGGTTTGATCCTGTCGCTGGGGGTTCTAGTCTAGGAGGGAGACTGCTCATGGCCAGTCACGAGACGAGGAGGTGGCTGCCAAAGTGGTGCTGCCAAACCGGCCAGGCCAAGCTTTGCCAGCCGGCCAAGCCGCGGCTCTGTCCAAGGCACTATTGCACAGAAGATGCGATGGAGCAGTATTCAAAGATGTTCAATTCAAGTTACTTTGTCCTTTAACTTGTATGTTTTTGTTTAGCTGGCTGCTTAGTTACCCCAGCTCAGAACACTCCTGGTCAGGGCAAAACGGGGGCGCAGATGAGGTAGGTGTTTGACCTTCCAATTTGGACATCCTCAAGTTCCCACACCTTCGAAGCGCCCAACTCCGCTACTCAAACTTTGGGGCGCTCTGCACTCTCTCACAGCAAAAGGGTGAATGGATACTCTTCAAAGCAGGATCGGCACTTTTCGACAGACGCTCAACGTCCGGGCTATGGCTACACAGGAGCCTTTAGAGCTCCTACTGGGGTTTAGCCTATCACCTCTGTGTAGCTCGAACCGCAAATTGCGGATATTCGGCCTCACAAACAAAGTCAGCCGCAAGGGCTTGTGAATGTTTGAAGGTTAATCCTCCTCCATCCCCTCCTTCCTACCAAGAATACACAGAATCCGATTTATCATTGCTACTGCAACGGTCAAGTCGCGCATATAGATGTGGCGCAGGAAGACCGAAACAGAGCTGAACTTTGACTGCGGTGTTGAAATCTCTAATTAGAGCAGCGTTGTGCAAAAGCTGAGTTTTCCGCAGCGATGCACGAACACTGCAGCAGTCCCACTCCCGATGGTAAGGAACCAGAATACGGGAAGACAAATCATGGCAGGGAAGACGGGGCAGCTGCTTAGAGTTGTTCAAAACTTGGTCTGCATAGATTGTGCCACATCTAGCAGAAAGCAGCTGTTTGATGTAGGCCAGTTCTTTCCTCAAAAGTGGCTTAGTGTTGCACAGGCGCTTGGCTCGCGCAACCAAACCTTTTGGCCAAGCATGGTGAACGTGTAAACTATGCATAGAGTGAGGCGCAAGTGGCTGGTGGAGTCCAGTGGGTTTGTGATGAACTCCTATGTCCAGGAGACCCGTAGACCTCCATCTGGCGCCTTTTGAAATGTCTAAATCAAGAAAATCGCAGCCCTGTCTGCTGACGCTTTCCACTTCTAATTTCCATACAAGACTTCTCTGGCGGAGAAATCCAACAAAATCCCTCAGGAATTGGTTGTCTCCACTGTGCAAGAAGAAAATGTCATCTTTGTACCGAACAAACAGTTCAACAGAGAGGCGCTTCAAAATATCAGGACAATTGACCACTCCTTTTTCAACGGTGGCGAAAAACGTTGCGTCGCACAATTCGCCACTGAAGCCAAGGCCCATGCCGGCTCCTTTCAACACTTTCCAAAGTCGACCTTCAAACTGGTCCACTTCGACATATTGCGAGTCGAGAACATATCGCAAAATTGTTCGGTAAAAAGTTCGCCACTTGGGCTCCACGAGGGAACTACTGTACTCCAAAAAATGGGAGTGAAGGCCATCCATGAAGTAGTCTTTAACATCAATTTTCACGAACTGGCAATTCGATCGAACTCTCAGGTTGTTTAACCGACGTACAAGAGCTTCACTGTTTTTCAGCAAATGCTCTAAAGTTGAAAGAGCAGGGCGGAGAAAAGAGGCAATAAGCCGGAAAGCGCCCGCGAACGGAGTGCAAACCGAACTGTGAATGCCCCGAAACTCGACCTTTCCAGGCCCTTTGTGAGTTTTAATGGTGCACTTCAGTTTTGAAAGAGCCTTGCTAGCCCTCCCAATGACCGGTTGCAAAATGCTTCTCAAAAAGGATGATTTTTCTTCATCCGCCATGAAGCTGGGAAGGTGAAAGACAACTTCGCTTTCAAATCCTCGAACAATGTCCTCGGAAAACGTTGACGTCCGAGGAACTTCCTTGTATCTGGAAGAATTTGTGAGAATACGTAGCAACTCAGGCTTGACAACAGATTTGTGGATGAGAGCAAAACCTCCGTCTTTGTGCGTAATTACGGATGGCTTTAAAAGGCCCGTCATCCAACAATCTAAGTGCCAAACGAACAACTCCATACATGTTAGAGGAAAAACTCCTGTCAGATCGGAGCTTACCACGAACTTTCAGAACTTCTTTGTAGAAGCTTTGCCGGATTTCATGGCAAAAGCTGTCCAGAGACGAAGGGAGTCTTATGTCACAAGGTCTGACAGTACTAGACCGTTGTTTGAAAAATTGCCACGCATCAGGAGCTCGATTCATAAAAGCAAGCCTCCATCTTAAGCGATGCTCCCAGTCATACAAAGATTGTCCCACTGTCCGCAAGGACACACGTTTTTTGTTTAAAGAACGCATTTAGGGGAGTGAAATCCAAGGAGATATTCTATAGGCCAAGGTACATCCTTAGGTATGTACGCAGAGCGAGAAATATGATCAAAGACATAGACTTTTTCCACGTCTTTGCCACACTTCAGTAAAGTTGTGAACTCCTGCAATGGCATTTGTCGGACCAAAGACCAGAACAGTCGAGAAGCTTGGCAGGCAACATTGGTTTTCTTTACTGCCACCTTCCTCGCGCACTGCCAGTCCAAAAGCCTTTGCCATTTCCTTTCTTTCCTTGAGCTTTTCCTTTGGTTGTAGCTTTCCCTTTTCCCTTGGAAGTAGATTTGCCCCCCTTGTGGGGGGCCAATCCGTTTTTTGGCAACACAGGTTCTTGCACGGGAAGCTTTCCTTTGTTCTTTCCTTTGCCCTTGCCTTTTGGATTCCTCCCTTTTCCTTTGCCTTTCCCTTGAGGAAAAACCTGCATCTTGGAAGGAACCTTTCCTTTGCCTTTGCCTTTTCCTTTCCCATGTCTGGTCTCCGGTCTTTTCTCATAGACCAACTGGGAAATAGACTCCTCATCAATCATGCCAGACATGGCTTGGCAAGCTAGTCCTGCAGAGTTCATCTCATACTTCTGCTTGTCTTTTCGAGTTCGCCCAGCAGGTGCCTTCTTGTCTTTTGATTGCGCAATGCGAGAATCAATTGCCTCAATGAGAAACTCCTCAGGTGATTTTCGAATGACCTCCTGCACGACCTCATGTTGTCTCTTTCGTTCAGCAGCTTGTTTTTCTTCCTGTGCGCGCTTCACTTCAACTTCAGCATCAACTACTTTTCGGTAAATTGCCAGAATCTTTGCTTTTTGCCTGATCAGAACTCAATCCACGAAGTTCCAAGTTAGCAGCAGTGTCAGCGTCAGAATCATCCAAGTCCAAATAAGCCGATGCCTTACGATGCGCTTGTGCAAAAGCTGGAAAATTGGCCAAACATCTGTCCAAAAAAGCCTCTTTTCGGATGTGGGTCTTCAACTGTTGTCTGTGTTTGTCCAAAAGTTGGAGGTCCAGTTCCAATTGCACTTTCAAATGTTCCATGTGAAACTTGCGCTTTGTGTCACGAATCGACATGCTCGTGTCCACGGTCACAGAAATGCCATCCTGGGAAACCATGTCATCCAGCAAATGTGTCTCAAATGTGTGAGAAAAAGGTCGAAATCCTTTTGGCAAAATGCCATCCTGGATCTCAGCAATGTTCCCTTTGACTTTTTCTCTTCGCACATTTGTCTTCTGTAGTCCGCGAATCTTGTTGGACAAATCCAGAGATTGCTTTCGATTATCTTTTAGAACTGCTGGAGCTAAATATCGTCCGAACTCTGCATCTATGAGATCATCAATGGAAGACAGCCCTGGAGTGTTCACATGTGGTCGAGGACTTCTACTTCTTCGATGTTGATCTGAAGCCTGCGGTGCTTGTTGGATGCTTAACAGCTGTCGACGTGGTCGATTTGCTGGGAGTGGGCTGTCGCCTTCTCCTTCATCCTGATCCATGCCGGAGAGTGCCATTAAGAACGATGAGAGTCAAAGACAGCAAAAGGGTGAATGGATACTCTTCAAAGCAGGATCGGCACTTTTCGACAGACGCTCAACGTCCGGGCTATGGCTACACAGGAGCCTTTAGAGCTCCTACTGGGGTTTAGCCTATCACCTCTGTGTAGCTCGAACCGCAAATTGCGGATATTCGGCCTCACAAACAAAGTCAGCCGCAAGGGCTTGTGAATGTTTGAAGGTTTGAAGGTTTGAAGGTTGAAGGTTTGAAGGTTTGAAGGTTTTGTGTAGGTGGAGGTAGGTGTTTGACCTTCCAATTTGGACATCCTCAAGTTCCCACACCTTCGAAGCGCCCAACTCCGCTACTCAAACTTTGGGCCCAGCTCTACACTCTCTCTGCACCGTCTCCGCTTAGCGGACGCACCGACGCGCACCGACTCGTGCCGCGCCCGCCCGACGCACGCCAGGCTTAAGTCCGGTGGCGCTGGGTGGGCGGCTTTCGCTCCAGGGCACGGACCGTTGGGGGCGGAGGGGTGGACTGGTCGGACTGGTCGGAGGGGTCGGAGGGTTCAGAAGAGAAACGCCAAGCATTTCGGACTGGGGGCCGGTGGGTTTGAACCTTTTTGGTTGTAGGAGTAAGACTCCATCATACTCCAGGTCCACCTGTTCACATTTTGCAGGAGGAACATGGAGGAACGTCATCTTGATCTTCCAGTTTTTGTTGCAGAGAGTGTAAAATTTCCAAGGTAAAGGGGTACTGATTTGTGAGATCCATTTTCAGGGTCTGACTATCAGTGTCGCCCCCAGGCAATGTAGATATGCTAGTGAAGCCAAACACCAACAACCGGCTTCATCTTTCTGACATGTTGGCAACAGCAACACTAGGGCCCTAGGGTGGACCAGAAAACGACACAGGCCCCCTTTCTCGCAAGCATTTTCAGGAGGGAACATGGACAAGGCAAGCCATTCCAAGCGAGGCTTGGATGGTTTGAGCCTCACTGGATGTTTTGCTTACTCCCCCAACTCACGAAGTTCACCCTGATTTCATGGTTCCAGGACCGACCCTTCTCGTAGGTGACGCCACCTGGCACAGCGATCTAATTCAATTTCAGGGGACCAACGTTGGAACGATTGGACCGGTCTGGATCTGGTCATTTCTTGCAGAATTGAGGTGTCAAGGCGTGTCAAGGTCACATATTAATTACATTGCAAAGATTCAAGCTCTTGGCCTTTGAGCCACAGAAGACATCCCACGAACCATGATTCTTGGACACTCCTGCTCTCGGTTGCGCACGCTTGGCATCCAGATCAAAGAACTATACCATTGTTGTTTTTGTTGCGACCACACCCACTCATTCAGACACAAGCAACAGAACACTTTCCAGGTCAATGACCTCTCTTAGGTCTTAGGCTTTCTTTTGTACACTGTACACCCTGATTGCAATTGCTTGTGATGGGCACAGAGAGGACCTGGCGATGATGGCCGCTGTGCGCAGTCGGGGGCCTAGATGATGTTCAGCCGACGAACTGGGGCGATCCCCCCAGTGGCGCTGGCTCTGGACCGTGGGCGTGTTCCAGGCCTGGATTCCATTGGTGGAGCATTTGTGTGGAGCTGTGTCAGAGCATTTTGGTGGAGCCCAACAGAGTCATTCCATACTTGTGCAGCGTGCATACAGAAGTACCAATAGATACCACTAGCCAGTGTGCAGACTCAACTGCACTTCCCCTTCTCTCCAAACACTTCCCGCGCCGCGAAAAACCTGGCACCCCCGGACCGCCGGACACCACGAACCGCGGAGCACTCGCGACGCGCGCGGAGTCGGTCTTCACGCGGGGCGGTGCCGGCGGTGCCGGCGGTGCCGTGAGGTGACCCTGAGAGTCCTCCAGAAGTACGGCAGCCGCGTGGGGGTGCCGAGTCCAGAGTCGCATGAGGCAGTGGGCTGTCGACTGCCAACTCGGCATGAAGGCACTATTCAAGGAGTCGAAGTACAGATGACTGTTGCATCATGTTTTCATATTTTTCCCCAATAGTGACAGATGTTTGACCACTTACTTACAGTAGGTAGGGGGGGTTTGACAGCCAAACAGCCAAACAGCGAACGCTGACCGGAGACTGCCGTTCGACCTGCGAAAGGAGCATCTCGGAGTCAAGCGAGAGCCACACCGGAATTTGTGGCGTCTCGGCCCCATACAACTATACAACTCACTAACTCCTGTTAATGCTTTTGGTTTGACCAGCCAGGGCTGGATTGGAAGCCATAGTGCTTTTTGGAGAGGGGCATTCTTGGTGCTCAAAATCACTGCCCACTACATCCCACTAGTCACTAGCACCTGTTCTAGACATCCGGCTGAAGCAACCTATCCAGGGTCAAGTTCAGTTTCCCATCCTCGCCGTTGGCTGTTGGTTGCGCTCTACGCGCTTTAATCGGGGTCAAGGCAGACAGTGTTTAGCTGTTCGGGAACATTCGTACTAGGGTGAAGGTTGAGGTTGTAGCCTCATCCTGAAATCTCCCTTCAACCGTGGAAAAGTTCTCCCTTCACTGCACAGACTTGCCATGTGCATAAGAGTAAACCGTTTGGTCCTGAAAGTTTTTATATAGAAACGGTATTTTAGATCCCCTGCCTGGCAAACCCACTCTCCTACTTGCACATGGCGAGGCTACTGCCTTAGTTACTGTGACGCAGCACCTGGCCCATTTCAAGTGATGGCTGCCGCACACTCGTCCGCCCCCGAGTCCCACTATAAGATGCGATCTGCAGAAGACATCCATTTTCTTGCTCCAGGACGGCAAACCTGCAAGACCAGCACTCTTCTGGGTGGATGGCAACCAGCCTGCCTTGATGAGGCCGAAGCTGTGAAGTTGCTGGTTGGGACTGTGTTGAGGTTTGTGTACCGGTCAATCCATGAAAGTATCTTTTGATGGTGCATTGGAAGCTGCGCGGATCTACGTTGACTTGTTGAATCTACACAGACAGAGGTTGCTTGTCAGGCTTGTTGGTGAACTGCACCTAGTGTTCACACCATGTCACACCATTTCATGTTGCACCAATCACATGCTCTGTGCTCTTCGGCTTTGCCTTTAACACCACCGGTGTCAACCGGATTCGGATCGATCTGGCCAGGTCTTCTCTGGGGTGAAAGGTGTGGAATCAGCAGGTCGGGAGCCCTGCACATGACTAGTCCATGACTAGTCGCATCGGGTGAAACCCTTCAAATCCTCATCTCCCACAAAAATAGAGCTCTGTGCTTTGCAGGTGATGGAACCGCCAGCTTTCTTTTTCTGGTGGACCGTCCTTCGAAGGGACGACCGGTGAGTCGATGGGACCGAGGTCGAGGATCGGACTGGACAGAGCTCATCGGTCATCGTGTGGTCGCACAACATGGGGGTGAAGAACGGTAGGGGTTAAGCACCGGGATAATGCATCTCCAAGTGTGTTTTTATTCATGTTCCATTTTCTACCACAATTTCCCTGGATATACGTACTGCTGAAAAATGGGGAAGGCACAGAAACACACTGTGCACAAAGCCTCAGACATTTGAAAGCAGGGGGAGGATGAGCAGAGGACTGCCGACTGCTGCAGGAGATGTGCCATCATAGTGTAGGCATGTTGAGGGTGAACTGGACATGGACGACATGGACGGAGGGATGGCTCCTAAGACCGGCACCACTTTCTCGGCCTATAAGACTGGCTCCTAAGAACGATCATAATATCCTTTATGGTGAACAATGAAAGGGAGTTGGAGGATCTTTTCCACCATCACGACCAAAAAGGACATCATTTTGGTGCAAACGGCGGACCATTTCAGTCCAGCCCAAGACCGTTTATTTGGACGGGAGAGTGACAGGGCAATGAAATCTCAAGTTCCATCTCTACGTGGTGGTTTCAGATTTTTTTGCGCTCCCTGTAGAAGAACGTGGTCATCCAAGGGGCCATTTTCCACTTACATGATGATTTCGGCGAGTGTAGGTTCAACTTGATGGATTCCGCTGACGGGTAGAGTTGAAACCAACCATTCTGGAGCGTCCAGTGCTTGGAGTACTGTTGCGGTTTGCTTCATGCACCAAGGCCTCTTGGCCAACGCAGAGAGGCTGGTTCTTCTGGGCTCCACTTCTCTCCCAGAAATGGCTGTACAACTCCAGAGTTATGGAGGTGCACCTCAGCAGTCCAAACAATCGATGCACCTCCACTGTTATGATCACTCAGCACAATTGACGGTGGTGATCAGTTATGGAGGTGTATCAATTTATGGGCTTTGATCGCCGCTACTTGTCGCGCCTCTGTCGCAGCTGGTGCTCCAGAAAGACCAAAGACCACCTGGTGTGGCATGGCCAGCTCAGTCCCTTGAAAGATAGCTTTTATGGTAGTTTTATTGGGAATTTTGAGAATCTCCTTCACTGTATTTGTTCATTATTGGACTTTTTGGATGCTTCTTTTATTTGAGTTCTGCTGGACCATCCCTTGGTGCAGAGAGGACAGAACCACTTTTATTCCACCAAGGATGACCTCTCATCAACGACGCTGAACCGAAAACGAGGTCAACAACAGCTTTTCCAGCATAGACACGTTTGAGAACAACAGCCTTTTCGGCGGAAAACATCACCACGAATCATTCCAATGGGCCTTTTCCAGCTCCATGTCCAGCTTCGTTCCAACGTTCTTCCTGTTTCGGCCCAATGTCTTTGACGCGCATGGATGTCAGTGCCAGCCCAATGGACCGGCAGAGGGGCCATGGGATGGTGGCAGGTTTTCAGGAAAACAACTGGTGGACCAGGGCTGGTCATGATCCCATGGCAACATTACTTTAAAACAGAGACCATGGGAGACCCAGCAAGTCGGAGACCCATCGCGAGGAAGACTCGTCCCATGAATTGGCGGGAGGGGGTGGCGAATTGAAGTTCCTGACGCATCCGAGGATGGGTCTGGAGACAGTGCCCACCTAGTAGGTTGGCTTGAAGCGCTATGTTGATTGAACCTTCGGAGTCCTGGAGGAAGAAAAGAGAAGAGATACACTCCAAATTCCGATGAGGTGTGGTGGTCTTGGTGACATTTTTGGTGTATTAGACTTCTGCTTGCAGGCCTAGAGTGGAGGTCTGCAGGCCTCAGAATCCGTTTGTTGTCGTGGAGCTTTGAGGATGGTTTGGTGGATTTCACAGTTGGTGCCTTGATTTCAGGTCTTTTGGGTCTCATGGCGACACCCAACTCGCACAGCCACGCCATGCTGCCAGGGTGGTGAACAAGGCCTTGGGCTTCATCTCTCGCGGGCCTTGGGAAACCCGCAAAAACACGGCCCCAATTGGGGTTGGTGTCCCAAAAGGGGATCGATGTGGGGATCCAGTGATCTCCAACCTACCAGCGATGGTCTCCAACCTAAGAGAGATGGCCTCCAACCTAGGGAGGTTTGGTAGTTTTGGCTGGCAAGAAGACCTTTCAGGGTATCACCTCAAGTATGTACGCCCTATGTAAGTATACTATACTGTAATATACTGTAATGATTTGGTCCAATGATTTTTTAAGAGACAAATTATAGAACACACGTTGCCGGCCCCAGGTTGCTCCATCCACTTGAGCTAGCTATATGGCTGCGGTTCATGGCACCAGGATACCGAGCGCTTGACGACGTAACGGTCATTCGCACGCTACATGGTGGACGACCAGTCGCTCAGCTCCAGGTGGGTCACAACCCATAGTAGCTTCTTGTTCCTAGTAGTAAGGCCAGGAGCCCCTAGTAGCATCCTTGCTCCTAGCAGCGATGCCAGGAGCCCCGTTCGTAGCGTCCCCTGTTAGTAAACTCTGATCAAACCTGGTGCCACCAGGTGGTGCCACCAGGTTGCCCCGCTTTACTCCGGCGCTTTCCCTTCCGGAGGCGCCGAACCGCGAGCTCATGGCTCGAGCGCGGGGGTGGGGGAACCCGCCAGGTGACGGGGGAGGGTCGACTGAAGGATGGGATGGGCATGGAGATTTGAAGGCTTCTTCTGTATCTTCTTCGTCTTGATCTAGATTCTAGATATGTCTAGATTCTACAGATTCTAGATGTCTTGCCTATTCTAGATGTTGCTTGGTTGGATGCAGTTTCTGTATCCTTTGCTTCTGACAGAGTGAGCATTTCCAAGAGATCAAAAGCTGTACCAAATCTATGTGTGCTTGCACCGGCTACAAGACACCTTGACAATGTCTGCTTCATCTCCAATCTACTTTGGATAGCCACCGTTTTCCCGTCAGGATCACTACTTTCTCCCATTTGTTTTCATCACCTGCCTGTCCACCCCAGACCGGCCTCAGCCCCCGAAATGCGCACCCCGCTAGCCACCGCTTTGCGGCCCGGCACGGCGGTTGGGCCAACCTCTTTCTGCCCATGACAACGCTGGCCACAACAAAGCACTTCTAACCCCCAAAATGAGCGCTTCTTTCTGAAGGCCCTCGGTTTGATTTGCGCCAGATCCCAAGAAGCGGTTCACTCGGTTCAGCCGAGGTTGGTGAAGCGCATTGCCTTAGACCCCAAGATCATCACCAACGAATCCAACGGCTCCGGCGCCTAGTCTGGAGTCCCTTTCTACAGCAGCTTCGTGGCGGTCCGTGGTGGCCCGCGGTCTGTCGAAGATGGAGGGATCCGAGGACCATGTGGAAAAAGGATCCAGAGATCATGGAGAGATAGAAAGAGGGAATGATCTCCATATAAAGAGGGAATGATCTCCAGGTTTTTTGTTGATGATTTGTCATTATTGGGGTGATTTTCAGAGGTTAGGTTGCTTGGCCTGATGGGTGTCTACGCCACAAAAACTGGCTATAGTACTCGTTTTCCTACAGAGGATTTGAGAAGGGATGTTTGGCCAATCGGGCTCGGAGGCCTGAGGAAATGGCTCGTCACTAGAGGGATGCCATGCCTTCATTCAGCTTGGTAACGTGTGGAAATACCCACATGAATCATTGAGCCCGGTTTTTTGTGTCTGCAATTCCTTTCTTTTTTGGTGCTTTGAGTCGGGTCGACCGAGTCTTTTTCGATCTTCGGGTCTGCATGTGGGATTCCACTGTGGGATTACGCACCCTGTTTGATTTTTAGACACAAAGATAAGCTAGACAGACACTAGTAATCACTAGTAGAAGACACCTGGTACAGCAAAAGGTCAGTTTGCAACCCCCCGGCCCGCGGAGCGATTCCATGTGTTGTTTTGCCAGAGTATCACTTCTCTGTTCTTTGAATGTCGTTCCTGGATGAACCTCCATCCGTCGGCAAGACGAACATAGACTCATTGCGCTTTCTTCGCGAATTCGTGCGCCGCCCAAAACGCGTGATCGAATGGACGGGACGTGGAACATGCCTTAGTTGAGATTCTCTATTTCACGCGACTGAACGGAGGACAGCACTGAGGTGACCTGAAGCCCGCCATTGGGCCATGACCCTCCTGCTTTGCGGGGCTTCTTTAGCTCTGTAAATCATCGGTAGACACTACGGGTTAACTGTGGCTGCGGCTGGGATTGGATCTTAGGGGTTCATGGCTGCTTAACCTTGGCGCCGTCCTATGAGTTTTTCTGCGAGTTTTATCCACGAGTCACGAGCCCAAAGTGAGAACGGGTTGTTGGCTTGCTTGTTGGGCTGAATGGTTCGGAGCAAGCACACTTTCCTTAAGCTCTACATGGAACAGGTAGTCCTACTTTACCACATGGCGGTCTTCGACTGGCAATTACACTTGGCAGTTGGGCCTGTTGCACACTACGCGCACCAGGAAGTCCTTACTAACCAAATGGAGCCAACCGCTCTGCAGGATTTGGCTGTACATAAAACCCCCACACCACTGCAAAATCACAGTTCCCAGACCATCCATGTATGCAACACTAGGGTCATAGATGTGCTAAATGTATGTAGCTATTCCATACATGGATGGTCTGGGGTTGGTGGCTATGGATCGGGCGCCTGGGTATTGACGGTGCGGACCATATTTCCATGCTAGGTGGACTCAGACGGCTCAGACCTTGGTCGACGACTCACCAGTCTCTGCTTGAACGCTTTACCAGCCTTCAGGACCTGGATTAAGATCTATTTTTTCAATCATTAATCCAATAGATCTGCTTGAAGATCTGCTTCGATCTGCTTCTGGGTGGCGCGACCAAAAGATCAATCTCCGTTCTATCGGCGTTGGGTCGGTCGGCAGTTCCTCAGGTGCTGCAGGTGTCTCTCCCCAGCTGTATGCTCTAACGACCTCGCCCATCCATTCTCTTGCTGGGAATCGCCAGGCTCCCCACAGTCGGATTTCGGAGAAAAACGGCCACCTCCAAAGAAGTGACCGACCTGGAAGTGATGAGAATGGGAAGATTATAGTGGTTTCAGAGTAGATGGCACACACCCAAAAATGTCTTTTATATGGGGGGTCCATTTAAACCACCTGTTGGGGATTGTGCCATCTACTCTGAAACCACTGTAGCTATAGCAGATCCCTCTTCTTGCTGTCTTCCTGTCTTCTTGCCACTGGGGGAGAAGACTTTCCACCCAGCCTGGTGTCCTGGCCTTGTACCAGGGTTCTCCTCTCTTGTTTTGGACCTCCCCACCACTGTCGGGAACTTGGGAACACATTCCCTGGTGGAAACACGGGGCGTGACGCGCCAGCTTTCAGACCAACCAACAGAACTCGACAACAGGGTATGCATTGAAATCGAGTGCCCTCTCCGAAGACTCCGCGAAGAGGATCAAACGCACCCGTTCTTGTCAAGGAGCTTTTCACTGCCTTGAAACTAAATAAACATAGTAAACTGTATTGAATCCTTCTCTCAGACACGCAAGAACTTTTCATTGTTTTGGCTGGGATCGTTTCAAAAACATTCCAAAACCAGTGCTTCCGCTTGGATATCTTCGGATACAAGTTAAAATATGTTAAACGCATTTGTTAAAACATGTCGGATTTTCGACAATGTTGGGATATCGTGTATATATATATACATACAATAGTATATAACAAATATTCAGCATTAACACATAGTTAATGCTGAAGCGCTCAACCCGGACATCGTTCAAATTTGCGGATTCCACGATGTGGGCCACGCACCGGAGAGGCCAGGAGACCGTCCACCGTTCGGCTTCGCTGCACAATTAGATGGGCAGGGGATGGTGATGTGGGAGATGTGAGTTCCATCCAGTTCCCGCCAGTCTGGAAGGAAAGGCATGAAACTAATTGCTAAACTACATGTAGCATACAGTATACTGTAATATGATCTTTGTCGGAAAAAAAACATGTCTCAACAGACATGATATGCTATGCCAGGAAATAAAGTAACTTAGTAAAATAGACCATATAGCCATATAGACCACAACTCCATTGGTTGGGGGCTCCTCCAGAATGCCAGTCTCTCAAGAGTTGCGCTCCGGCCTTCTAAGTTTGGGAACATAGAACAGTCACCCAAACAAGATGAGCATCATTCTAAGTACAAGGATGTTCTGCTATTCGTAAGAGGATCTATGAACACCTATGTAGATCAATGATATTAGAGGGGAAACCAGTGAGTAGTAGCCTTTCCAATGAGCTGCAACCTTTGATGAATGAGACAGAATGCTATCCCCGGCCAATGAGATCTCGCCCTGTGGCCTAAACTCACTGCGAAGCAGTGCGGAGTGAGGGCTATGGGTGGCGGGCAATCCATCATGAGGGCGGAACCGGACAACCTCAGGAAAAGGCTTGGAACACACATTCATGGACCCCGCTGAACAGGTAAAACAATCAAACAGCAGAAGGAGTTTCTACATGGTGTGCGATTCATGTATTACAGTTTCCCACAAACATGGCTGCCTATGTCTAGTGATTCATTCATTCCATGGAAGCCACTGGTGACAACCAAGAGCCTCCTTGGTGGCCGTTCGTGTTTTCTGGTTCGACCGACAAAAGGAGTTTTCCACAAACACACCCCACGGATTGAGGACGAACATTGCCAAACAACATGGTAAAAAATGTGAACCCCCTGGTATAGAAAGGACAAATATGCTCTTGTCAAGCTGCTTTTTGTGTCTCTTTACCGACGTCTCGACAGGTTTCTGGAGTGAACTCCGGACTTCGAGGTCGTGGCTGGTCTTTTGGGGAGACGGATGAGGTTTGCTCAAGTGAGGAGCTTCTGCACAGAAGTCTTCACTTTATAAATGCGTGAAGCCCGTCACTTGTCTTATAGTCCCACATATATATATATATGTATACACATGTATATATATATATATACAAATTTGTCTTCACATGTAAACATGAATCTCTAAAGGCAGATCAACCGCTGCCGTTTTCCAGTTCAGAGGCTATTTTACATGTAAACAAATTAATCTTATACTCCTCAAGCCTTCTGGTCAGACTTCAGTCCTCACAGCACCCGCGCTCTAGATCTCGCACGCAAGCTGAAGATATCGCACGCCTGAGCGCATGTACAGTGGAAGGGCTTCGGCAAGAGAGAAAGGGTGCTGCAGATGGCAGTGTGGCAGACATTTCTTCTGTTGACTTGCAAACCCATGAAGCCGTATATGATGTATTGCTGTATACCCCACGCACCCAAACCCTATAAATTTGTAGGGTCTCAATCGGAACCTCGGGTATTTGTGTGAAATCAACAATACCTCAGGTTTGTCCTTCTCGGGTCTGTTTCTTCTATCAGTGCTAAACCCATATTTATGTAACCCGTACTAAACCCATATTTAACCCGTATTATGGTACTGGTTTGGAAAACCTAGGGTTTCCCCACGCTTTTGTGAAAGCGGATTATTTTTGGGAAGACTCTTTTGTGAGTCTCTTGAACATTTCCCAGCAGCCAGCAGACGATTCTTTAAATCCTTTTCATCTTCTGGGTGCTAAAAAAGGTCTGACCCTTCAAATCTGGGGAACCACCCGGAGATAGACAGAGGCTTGCGCTTGATGTCACCGGGCCCTGACGCGAGCCTCAGGACCGAGGACTGGAAGGTTTTCGTGCTTTTGGAGGCTCAGCTCCCCTTCGGAGGTCATGCAAAGCCGGTTAGGTCTCGATGGTTCATCCCGATGTTGGCCATGTCTGGAGGACAAGGTTGGTTCGCTCCAAAAAGACCAGGTTGGTTCGCTTGGCTTTTTTGGTTGGCTCAAGTTGGATACATGAGGTGAGACGAAACATTCTTCGCAGAGCCAATTCTTTTGAACCCACCGACTTGATCATGATCTCCACGGGCGAAACTCCAGCAGCAGCCCTCACTGTGAACCATGACATCCATGAACTTGAGCCCAGGCCGCTCCTCCACACCGAGGTTTCCTCCAAAGAAATGTCAGCATCTTCAGCTCAGCAACAAAAGCCTCATACCATTCCAAGACACGGCCTAAACCGCTGGATCTTCTCGACTGCCCGAGGGTTGCTTCGACATGAGAGCTGGCAAGTGCCTCGCCCGCCATCGGTGGCATGCCGGAGGGTGGAGTACATGGGGCTTGAGGAAATCGGTAGCTCTGTTCGAAGAGTTTCAGCGGTCCGAACGTTGCCTTTCGAAGGGTCCGCGCATATTTGCCATGGTTCGGGGGTCAACATAGCTTGTGGTCGAGTAACTGTCATGGTAGGACGCTTTGAAGAATGCTTCAAGAAGAGTATCTATTTTCCATTGGCAGCTCCCATTCTATACTTCTTGAACAGGCTCCCATGCACACTCCAA